GAATCCATGAATCAAACCTGAATATTATAATACATTGTCAGCAAAAATGCTTCATTTAACTTTCGTATTTACAAACATAAATTGAATAAAATGGAGGCTACATTGCTTTAATTAGGATATAATTTAGGATATAATTTAAAGTATTTCTTAATATTTTTAACTTCGAGCAGAATTCGTTTAATATTATATTTTCAAGAATATAGAAAGTATAGCCGATATTCATTTATCTGAAACAGTCGTACTTGGAAGGTCCGTCAAGACGTTGGTTACCTACGGGAGGCTTAACAGTAACAATACAGAGAAAAAAGAAGTTGTGGGAGCAGGTACTAGAGAAGTTTACCAAGATTGAGCGAAACAGCACAAAACGCATCCGCACGACTGTGTATCCGCATTCTGAAAGATATTTTACAATCAGTATTGCTTATATATATTTACACTAACTCATGCTACTACAAAATTAGTAATATAACTAGATAAAACACTAAAACACTAATAAAAAAACACAATAAAACACTAGATAAAAAGGACGATATTGCTAATGCTATTATTCACAATAAAAATTCACAATAAAAATTATTCGAAATTATAAATATGTTGATGGCTACTATCTTCGTATTTATGTACATATTAATGTTTTAAGCAAGAAAAATGTTTCTTACTTAATAAACATATTTATTTGCTAATATTAATTGAAATCATTCATAGCTTAAAATGAATTTTTGTTCAAATGAATGTGATTAAAAATATCACAAAAGCGTGCGGTATTATTTAATTAATATTGTTGCGTGGGCGCTCGCAACAATATTGAATAACAATAAATATAAATAGAAATTAGAATAAAATAGAATCAAATAAAAATAAAATAGAACGGTCAGAAAGAAATAATTAAACACTCGTTTTTTTTTTGTTTTCAAGCACATGTAATACGTATGTGACACTTCGGTAAATATAGGCAAATCTTTAAGATTAGAATTGTTTGAGAAGTATTATATGTATAATTATATCCACTGTGTATAGAGAGAATATAAATTATGAGAACATATTTATGCGAGGTCAGGACCCGTCCAGCCACAAACTTAAGGACACGGGTTCGAACCGTTTGCTCGGTCCCTTTTCTTTGTTACAACAGGGCTCGGAATTAACCAGCGTGCAACGTGGGGATCGCGAAAGCTGCGCCTCCTGACTCCCTCCGCGCGTCTCGCTCCCCGCGATTGCCTCTTTCGGCACGGAGCTCCTCAGACGCATGTGCCTGTTGCTTTATATACAGAGTGTCTCAAAAATGTCTCGTAATCTGGAAATGGAAGTTTCCTGAGGTCATTTTAAGCAACTTTTTCCTTAGCAAAAATGTGATCCGCGGCTTTGTTTATGAATTATTAGCGATAAACATTGACCAATAAGAGACGAGCTCGGCTGGGGCGGCTCAGATAACGAGCGCACGAATCTCGCCACTCACTGGCCACTGTTTTTCGTCAATAACTCTTAAACGAAGCCGCGGGTTGCGTTTTTGCTAAGGAAAAAGTTACTTCAAATAACGTCAGGAACCTCCCATTTCCGGATTGCGAGAAATTTTTGGGACACTCTGTATATGTGTGTATAGTGTGTGCGTATGTAGCATTTAGGCGACTACGGGGAGCAAGACGCGCGGGGGGTTTCAGGAAGCGTAGTCCTCGCAATCCTCATTTTGCAGGCTGGTTAATTCTGCACCCTGACATAAAGGAATTTACTCCTTTGTTCGGGAGGAAAGCGACCTCGCCAGGATTATCCACGGGAGGATTCACAGGTGGAGGTGGTTGGTGAAAGCTGCTATACCCAAAATTCGCTAGGTAGGTTTTCAACAAGAGGTCAGTTCATCTGACGGATGGATGGTCCATCTGACGGAAAACCCTCGATAGTTGCTTTATAGTTTCGTATACGTGAGACCCCCAGGCCCCTTGTCCTTCCCCCCGTTTTGCCTAGCTGTATGCGGAGTCTCGAAGCTCGGGTCGTACTAGGACCACCGTCAGATAACTATGTACATACTTCCACAAAACGAATCGGTTTCGTACTGCGAAAGCAGCTTGACAAGACGCGGCAGGGGTAAAGGGCCTGGTGGGGTCCCGCATATACTAAACTATGTATAGAGCAACTGTCGAAAATTTTACACTCAGACGGACACTCTGTTGCTAATGTAGAAGCAAAAATATACAGCGATAAGAAAAAATGAGATATTACCTTTTAAAACGGTATAACTTTTTTGAAATTAGACTCAACGACTTGAATTTTTTTCAGCTGATGAGAGGTATAATTTACTAGACAATGACTAAAATACCTTCTTTTAATTTTACTATTACTTGGAATGACAAGAAAACAATAAAGAACTCATGATCTTTTCTAGTCTAGCTACAGCTATTGGAAAATGTAAAAATTACGTTTTTGGTGAAAAACTGCGATTTTCGCGATCTTTAATTGTTTACAGCACGTATCAGGGTCACTACTAAGATTTACAAATTGTACTTTTTAAATTTTCGTTGGAAGTTCCAATAAATAAAATTAAAAGCAGGAGTTTTTTATTTTCTTTTTGTTATTCCAAGGGGTAGCAAGATTGCAGCAAGTATTTTAGTCATTGCGCAGTAAACTAGTTCCTCCAACATTAAAAAAAAATTCAAGTAATTTGATCCAGATTGAAAGAAAGTTATACATTTTAAAAGGTAGTAACTCAGTTTTGCTCCATCGATTTTGTATCCATCGACAGTCTTCGGATGCATAATGTATTTAGGAGAACAAGAAAATCAAGTTGATGTAATTAATTATAAATATAGCTAGTACTGATGCCATTTGCATTATATTTAGACGATATATGCATCAGCTGAATAAGGAAACATGATTGTAATATGTAATTGTTTAATTGTTCATGTAAATGTTTATTTAATGAATATTATCATTAGAATTCGTGATTTAAGGTATTAATGTACAGAATATATAATTTAGTTATTAATATATATATTAATAACTAAACTATTTATACTATAATTATATTATAAATTTTATTATATGTGGGACTGTTTATATTACAATATAGATAATAATATTTATAAGAGATAAGTTAATAAGTAATATCAATATTTACATTAAATAAATATTTTACAAGAAGATGAAATAATTAAGGTTTTTAATAT